AAATGTTTTGTTGTATAATTGCAATTTATGTTCCCTTTGAAAGAACTTATTATATATTTTTGGAAAGTTAAATAATAATTAAAAAAAAGTATCCAGCAGTGGACACAAAAACAAATCCTTTCATGTCATATACCCTGAGCCGACCTCAAAAAGAAAGCAAAAGTAGTAGAATTAACACAGGATTCCTCTTCTTAGCGTTTTAATACACATTCACACTTTATTTAATATGTTACAGCTGTATAATGTAACCTATGTTACACTGAAATACATCTTATTATCAGAAGTGGAATAATGAATCCAGCTGGCCTCGGCTTACCCAGAGGAATGGTGCAAATTTGTGTTATAAACCATGATCTATGGGACAGATTTGCACCATAATCAAGTCCTGTTGAAGTAGTGCTGTGTATTAGGTAGGATACATATTGCGATACTGTAAGCAAGGAGATATATTGGGATTTTTAGACAGCCCACCATAAATGCAATTCACAGCACTGTTATCGCAAGGGTTCTTAAACACAAAAATCCATACAGGGTGTTTAAGAATCGATACAATATTACAATACTCAAGTGTATCAATACTTTCTTACACCCTCAGCTGGAAGTGATTAAAAGTTGTATGTGCAACAGTTATCTTCATTACTGATTATTATGTCAATTATTTTTATGAAAAATGTCAGAAAATAGTGAAAAAAGCAGATTTTCAAATTGCTGTCCAATCTGACCAACAGTTTGACAATCAAAAGATATTCAATCGACAGTGATATAAAACAGAGCAAAAACAGCAAATCCTCATGTTGCTGGAAGAAAAATCCATAAAGGGACTGGTGCAGCTCAGTCCAAGAGCTCGCAGAGCCTGGCTGCTTTCTCTGATCTGCTCACCCTCAGCCATAGCAAGCTGAAGGTGCATCTGCTGCTCATGAGCAGCCATGGTACGCGTTTAAGAATTATTGAGGTTTATTCCACTCAGAAGGTCCCTGTGTTGTTTGCCAGGTCACATAATACAAGGATACAAGCTAATTGAATTGTCATGTTGCAAAAAGGGTTGTGTAATGAAATTCAGGGTGTAGTTTCCTTCATGCTACTTGTTAAAACAAAAAACGATTGATTTACTGAAACTTTCACTATATCCTGACAGTAGTACATGGTAATAATCTGTACTACTGTCAGGATATAGTGAAAGTTTCAGCAAATATGACAACAAATATTTTTATAAAAATGCAGCTACTGCAGCTTTAATAAGTCATAAAAAGGTAGTGTGTCCAGAGCGTTGGAATCCAGCACTGACAGATTCTGCTCTGTGGGGACGTGCTGTGTATTTGTCCAGACTGATTTTAAACTTTGGTGTCCCACATAGGAAATAAACAAACATTTAGCAGCTGTTTGAGCAAATGTCCTCCTCAACCAGAGGACGCATTCAGAGTTCCAGGTGCTAGCCTCTGCTTTGGTCCTCATGCTGTTTTGGGTTTGGTCAGTATAATGGGGTCAGTATGTTAGCACATAGTGCAACTGGAACCTCGTAATCACTGTACTCTGCTGCTATTCTCTTATTTAAATATACAGTATTTTACAGTTTTGTGTATTTCCTCCTAGTACGATATTTATGTAGTTGTGTTGACTGACTAACAATTAGAAAACAGCTAACTTTAACAGTTAACTGCCAGCAGGAGAGTGATTTTTACCATTGTTTTAGCTCTGCTTTAAACACAGCAGAGATGGAGCAAGCTGTATATTCTACAAAGTGTTAACAGGTGTGAACATTTAATACACACTGGACCTTTAATATGATACATAGCCTCAAAACCCTCCACGTTTTGGCCTGTGTGCCTGCACAGACAATACCAGCACCAACAGCACCACTGAGCCTCTAAATGTCAGAGAGAAGCCGGTTAATACTCAGACACAGTTTTTACATTGAGATGTAGAGCAGCATCATCTACAAATATAGACCCTAGATCTGTGGTTGAGTTGTCTGTCTGCAACATTCAGTGACTAACGGACTACAACAGGGCTTAATGCCATAATAAAAAATAATAAAACTTGGTTAATCAATGCATGGTTTAGTCTTTAACATGTCAAAACATTACAAATGGTGTTAAACCGAAGCTGGATCTCTTTATCTCATATATTTTTCTACCAAAACGTCCAAATTCTGACTGACAAGATTTTAGAACACTATCAACTCAGAAGGATTTTTCAAAAGCTGCCACAATGTAAATCTTCATTGACACACATTCTATAAAATATCTCAATGTTGTTAGCTGTTTGTCTTTCTATTGTAACAATACAAATAACAACAACATATTGGTGGCATTGACTGCTTACAGTACTTATACTTGTAGTGGCTCTGTTAATAAAACAATCAATTGAGCTAACATTTCCCAAGCTAGCATTGCTATGAATTTCTCACATCAATGTTACGGACCTCAAATGTAATATTTAAGTTACAAACCTAACATCAGTGTGAGAAATTAGTAGCTATGTTTTCTTGAGTAACGGTAACTGACCAACAGCTAGCTAACCAGCTAGCTCAATGTTATGTTCGTAATATGTTTATGAGCTAAATAGCCTATACATAATAATGTAGTAGAAATTAACCTATGATTTGTACAATAATTACGAATCTACCTTCAAATTTTTTCACCTTAAGTAATGTTATGTTTTCTTTCTTCTCTTCCTGAGTCAATGACCTTTATTTAGGAAGTTATTAGGTGTCAGCCAGTTAATGAAGGCACTGACTGAGCAGTAATTGTCTCTCAAAGCTCTGTTTGACTGTGTGTGTGTGTGTCTGAGGGGACTTCAAAGCCAACTTCATTAGCTGTGATCATCGTCCAGCATAATTAAATCTCTTCCTTAATGAAGACTTCCCTTTCCACACGGACATTTTAACATGTATTTTAGTCAGCTGTGGATAAATCCTGTATGATATCATGGTGGGAACTGTTGGGTCTCTGTAAATACTTTTATAAGTAGTACGGCCTAGAATTGAATTGAATTGAATTGAATTGAAAAAGAGGAAACTGTTGTATTGTCAGGTTATTTAGAAAAAAAAATTTTTTTTTAAAGGCTTGAACAGGATATTTATGTTTTCTTTGACCCAGAATCAGCTGTGTCGCCCTGTAATCCAAGTAAGGACCCAAGGCAGTCAGTCATGATCCTGGCAAGGTCACATGTTGTTTTTATTAAATCCCTGTATGGTCCCCTTACTACAGATTTAGGTCTTGGATAAGTACACTAAAGCTGAAATGAATTTGGGCAGAAAACATGATCAAAGATTGCTCCGCTCAGTTAGAGCATGGTACATGTACTGTGGAAAAGTATAGTTTGATGGGCATAATACAGAGATGGGATACAATTACGATCTTAAGAGTAATTTTGCTTTCAGCAAAGTACTGTAATTTGTACTGGATCTGGGTTGCACTAGCTATTTGCAAATCCATTACCAAGGTTTTTAGTTTAAAACTAGTAATTTACTAAATCTGCTTGCACAAATAAAACTTAAAGAATGTTTAGACCTGCTATATTTGAGAAGTGTACTTCTGTTATGCGCTGTACAAATAAAGTTGAATTGAATTGAATTAAATTGAGCTAGTAAAGACTTGAGTCATGTGTAAATCAGTTGCTAGGAAACATTCGTAGCACTGTTCAATCAAAAGCTATCAACTATGTAAACAGGAAGTCATGTAGCATCACAAGCTAACACATAAGTTCCAAAATAATAATTTTAGAAGGTCAAACAATATATTAAACTTAACTGCCAATGTTTATATATGCAAACATGAAGAAATATGTTTCTGTTTCTCTTTTCATGCAATTTAGAGTGAGTGGGAATTACCTAGGTATGCTGACCTAGCTGATGCTATTTGGTCATGTAGCAAAACCTGAAATTTTATTTGAAATCTTCCCAGTTAACACTAGTTTTGTCAGTTACCTCAGTCAGCTTACACCTGACAGTAAGTAAGGTTGATCTAATGAAGAGCTGGAGCAACCAGTTTAAGTACTGTATTTCCACTCCAATGCATACAGGTGCATCTCAATAAATTAGAATATCATGACAAAGTTCATTTATTTCAGTAATTCAATTCAAAAAGTGAAACTCATATATTATATAGATTCATTACACACAGAGTGAAATATTTCAAGCTTTCCTTTAATTTTGATAATTATGGCTTACAGCTAACGAAAACCATGGCCAACCAACTGACTTCAGGTCCAGTTGGAAACACATCAGAAATCATAAGTGCCATAATATCACTGTTTGTTGTGTGTATTGGTTATCTCAACTCCCTAGCTAGAGTAAATATGACCACATTGTTGGCGTGCAGTACAGCAGCTTTTGTAGTAACTACTGTATGTGGTTCTATACAACAGCCTGTATCATGAGTCAGACCACATGGTTTCATCACACCAGCTGAGGAACTCTGTTCTGTCGTGGTGGGGTACTTGTCTGTTTCTAATCGACACGCGGATGGTTTGGCTCTCTTCATCCTTACACTTACAACCACACACACACACACACACACACACATTGAATTTCTCCCACTGCTGCAACGTCACTGTACTCATTTACAGTAGCTCACTGCTGTACACAGGGGAGTGTTTGTGTGTCTGCATGCTTGTGTGTGTTTTCCCAGTATCAAGACGCCTTTGTGAGTGTAGTGACCCAGCCCATCCCAACCCACAGTGAGACATCTGTTCCAGCTGCTGAGTCCTGCTTACTCAGCTTTGGACTGGAGTAAAGTTTCAAGGCAATGTCACAGCACTTTTATTTTATTTTTTGCAGAGGAAATAGTCCCTTTGCTAGAGAATTCAATGTATAACGTTTTATTTCCCTCAATACACGTGTACACATACACATATGGTTATGTATGGCTATATGATAACAAAGCCACAGGGCCCCATTAGGGCCCATTTTAAGCCTATCTTAATAGGAAACTTAAGATAACTTACGTTCCATACATTCTATTGGCTACTACAATTGCTGTTGATGATCACTCGCTTCACGTGCGGCTGCAGCAGATAAAGGAAAACCCCATCAGGGATGTGCGCAGACATTTCGGGGGGCTGGGCTCTAACCTGAAAAATATAACCTAACCCTAACCCTGCATCCCTATATGCTAGCTAGCTAAAATTGGTTTATGGGACAGCATAATATAAGGCGAGGTGATTTATTTTGGTCTAACTTTAGCTGTTATAGGCTACTCAGATTAATCGGTCGGCTGATTAATTAGGCCTATTATCTGGCGTTGTGAGAAAATCGGCATTGGCACTCACAAGGCAGACAAACAAAAATGTCCTAAGTGATGAATTTCAATTAATGAATACAAATTCCATCTAAACAACATGTTACTGACTAAGATAACCATGGATTGTATTGTGCATGGAATAATGTTTTGATCTCAGCATTATATATAACGGACATCGGTCGCCCTGCTTTCTAAATATCTGCATCGGCCTTTAAAAAATGGAGCCATAACGGCAATAAATTTCTCCAGTGAACATTTTAGCCAAAGAGGGCAAATTATGGCTGTTGCTCGGGCAACTTTAGCCCAGCCATGTGCACGTCCTTGCATCCCATTACAAGTCTGCAGTTGCAGCTCAGGGATTTTTTGTTTTACATCTGTCTCCATCAATTGCAACTTGACAGGAGCAAAACAGGCTTTAGAATTTATAATAAATGTATAACATTGAAATATTAAATCTGAATTGATATTTTTTTCAAGCTGTAAAACACAACACTGACATCATTGAAATCTTATAAAGATGTTATAGTCTGTGCTTAAAAACTTGCAGCAGGGGATTATATCCAGCTGGGCTTTGTATAGAGTTCACCTCTAAAGCCACAACTTGCTAACAAGATTACATGTTAATTAGTGAGCTTTAGAGGTGTTGTGTTTGTTGTTTTTACAGCTTGCTCCACTTCCACTAAGTGACCAAAAATAAAACATGCATCTTTAACATTTGTTATAGTGCATTTATCATAAATGCTGAAGCCTTTTCTTTACGCTGAACTAAGCTAATCACGTCCTAGCTCCAACTCCATTCTTAAAGGACAAACACAAGAGTGATATTGATCTTCTCATGTAACTCTTAGCCAGAAAGTGAATGAGCATAACTCCCAAAAAGTTGAACTCTTCCATTAACACTATAAATATTGACATGTGCAGCTTTAAGATTGAGTTCTTTAGCATCATACTTATACATACATCCCACTGAGCTCCCCTCTGCTAATCCAATCCAAGAGAGCCACCGCACTAATAATCCCAGCTCTGACTCATGTACTGCTTGTGAAGAAATAAGCCCAAAGATCAGTCATCATCTGGATGTGAGTTAACAGTTGTTGCACCATCAGACTGAGAGTATACAAAGGAAGGTTTAACCACAGCTGGATTCATTCAAATAGACATTGTAGGTTGTAATTTCGTAGATCTGCAATGGCTGCCATTGCAGAGTGTGTATGTGGAAGATTTTCAGGGAAGTGTCAGCTCTGGATATCTGGATTTAGGGTTGAAACTTTTTTCTGTTAATGTATTTTGTAATCATTTATATGGTCTATAAAATAGTGTTCTTTTAACAGCAGAATATTCTCATTACTCATGATCTCATTATCAGGGGAAATTTGTTAAGTTATAGCAAACAAACTATGACTAAAAATCTTTTTTTTTGCTTGTCCACTTTGCATGATCACTGTCCTCTATTCCCTCATGTAAATATTTGGAACTGATTTCAGCACCAAGCCCTGGTGCCAGAGTTATCCACCACCTGTGCGAGTGCAGATATTCCTGCACTTCCTCGACTGTCTCCTGCTATAGAAAGAAGCTGTTTGGAAATGTAACATATGCTTGTCTGCATAAAAGCAGGGTTCAGTGCCAGTTGGAAGTTTTGAGGGCAGATCACAATGCTGATATTCTTGGAGTGAAGCTGGTTGATTAGCATGTTCTGGAAAATTGTAAATTTGAACTGTGCAAAGGGCTCACATACAGAATTTAGATACCAAAATTCATCTGAAATCCAAGTCCATGTACTTGTTTAATACAGACACAGTGTAATGTCATTACATCATCACAGTATTAGAACTACATGAAAATCAGTGGTTAAAGGGGAACTTGGCAAC